GCAGGGCAGGCTGATGGTGGAAGGGGCAGGTCTTGGGGGAGGGTAACTGACAGCACCCCCAGCCCAGCATGATCACTCCAGCCAGGACCGGCCTGCGGGCCAGGAATTTGTGACCCCGTCTGACTCCCTTAGCTCCAGCAGCAGGGCCGTGTGCACGTGCTGCCGAGCGGCCTGAGTTCTCACCCCACGAACGGGCCGCAGAGGTTGCCCTATCATCCAGGGCATGAATAAGGCAGAGGCAGGGGAGGAGGGAAGCACTGATATAAAGAAAAAGGGCAGGTGGGCATGGCCACACAAGGGGGCACTTCTAGTGAGACTGACCAGAGGCCCTAGCCAGGCACCGTGCGATGGAAGAAACCCTGAGTACTAAGACTGCCCGGCCTGTCTGCACAGAGCGGGTCTGGTTCACCAGTGCCTGGTGCACGCCTTGCACCAGTGCAAAATCCTGCCAGAACATTGTACTCCAGTGGTGGATTCACGCACCAGAGGCACGGCAGCAGGCAATCGGGCCCTTCGCTCCAGGTGCTTGCAGGGCCTCGAAAGGAAGCAAGTTTTGGGGGAACCAATTCTCAGTGTCGTTCGTCTCATCACCCAGCCCCACCCCACCTCAGCCCCTCATCAGCCTCATCGACTCACCTTTGCCCAGCCCGTCGTTCTCGGCCACGATACGATACACGGCGGGGAGGCCGATGCCGCCCCTATTCCTGATCCGTAGGTCGAGGCTTTCATTCGTCCGCACCATGGCAGGACACTGCAGGTCTATCAGCTCAGGGGGAGCCACCACCTCGACTTCGGTGTGCACGGCGGCGACCCGGGCGCCCACAAAGAGGGTGACGGTGACGTTGTAGCGCCCGGGCGAGGCATACTGGTGGAGCACGGCCTTTTCGGTGGTGTTGCGAAGCCCCGTGTGGTCCCCGAAGTCCCACTGGACGGTGCTGACCGTGTCTGGAGCACTGACATGGAAGGCCGCTGCATGGTGACGGTGGTGAGGGCGGGGAGGGCCCGTGAGAGAGGCCTGCAGCCGGGCCGGGAAGAACGAGCGGAGAAGGGAAGGGCCGCCGCAGGCCTGGCCAGCAGAGCCCTCGGTGCAAAAGGGCAAACAGCCGGAGGAAGAATTGGGTTCCACGGCAACGCCGCACAGACACTGCGCCTGGGCGCCGAGGCTGCCGTACTCCTGGGCGTCCGCGTAGCAGAGGGCGCTGCAGGCCTCCTCGCTGAGGTTTGCGGAAGGAACGGACGTGAAGAGGATGACGGAATCGGCTGCCCCGGTGTTGTTGTCGGTCACGCAGGCGATGTACGGCGCTCCTGGAGGGGACACAACAGAGAAACGGGCTGCAAACCAACCACGCCAGGCCGTCACACGGGTGGGGAACCTTTCCGGGGTCGGGGGCCGCTGGCCTGCACAAAACTCAGTCGGGGCTGCACAAAAACCCCCAAACCAAACCTCTCACTGACATGGCCCCTGACTGAGAAGGAGAAAGACTCTCTCTGCTCAGAACAGAACCTTCCTCCCCTCCCCCCTGCATCCTCCTTCTGTTCTGAAATGTGATTTGTCCTTTTCATATGTGTTCATTTTTTTTAATTGTATCCTTTGGTATATATGGTTGTGACTATTTTCTTCCACTATTTGATCTGAGGAAGTGGGTCTGGCCCACGAAAGCTCATCATCTAATAAACCATCTTGTTAGTCTTTAAAGTGCTACATTGTCCTGCATTTTGCTTCAGCTACACCAGACTAACACGGCTACATTTCTATCACTATTCTGCTTAGACGTGAGCACATGGTAGAGGGGTTCTCTTCCTGGCTCTGCCAGTGATCCTCTGCAAGGCCTGGGGTCGTTCACTTAACTTCCCTGGTCTCTGAGCAATAAACCCACGCCCAAGCCCCGCCACACGGAGGTGCATGCCCACTGGCACACACTCGGACTCCGACGGTGCATGCACCACACACAGACACATGCAGCAGGTTCCATTCCGAGGGCAATAAATCATTCGCGTATGTTCTCCCACTCTCGACCTGCCTCCGAGGACGGGTGGGTTTTTCCCCCCTCTGCCACAAACACATGCTGATTTTGCAGCGTACACGGCCTCAGCCCAGCTGGGATTTCTTTGCTTCATGTCGAGTTCTGCCCACGCAGCTGAGGCCTGTTTACTGGTCTGCGTCTCACTGTTGCTACAACATCTCCCAAAACATCTCAGCGGTGCGGTCCTTGTGTCCGTTTCCCATAACGATCCCCCGCTGCCTGCCCCAACAAGCCTTGAGCCATGCTACCTATTCAGAAATGCCAGAAGGAAAGCCCCTTGTGGTGACTGTAGAGGCTTGGAAAGTCCCTTTCATTAAAAACGCCAGCCCAGTGACAACCCCACACGATCAGTGACCGCCGTTAATACCTGCTGGTGTCTCCCAAGGAGAGACAAGCCAGGTGAGCGACTCGATTTTATCGGACCAACTTCTGTGGGCGAGAGACACCAGCGTCCTAGCCACAGTGAGTTTGGATATGACCTCGCTCACCTTGTGTCTGGAGTCTGCTGAGACCAACTTGGCTGCACCTACGCTGCAGACAACAAAGGTGTTTCCCGGGCCCATTCTATTCTCTACAAGGGCCTCTGCTCCACCCCAGGATCCGAGTGCCTGCCAGTCCTTGCCCCTGACCGAGCTCTGCCTCCCACACGGACCAGCCTTATCCTTCTGGTAGGAAGTGCCGCTGCGCCCGAGGAACCAAGACGTAGGCCGTGGTCTTCCTCTTCTCCTTTGGGACACCTTAAAGGCAAGTCTATTGTCCAGAATCATAGAACACTAGGACTGGAAGGGACCTCAAGAGGTAATCGAGTCCAGCCCCCCGCCCTCATGGCAGGACCAAATACTGTCTAGACCAGTGGTCTCCAACCTTTCTACACCTAAGATCACTTTTTAAATCTCAGAGCAGGTGAAGATCTACCGCCCCGCCCCTTCCTTGAAGCCCCGCCCTCTCTATTCTCCTCCTGTCCATCACTTGCTATCCCCAGCCCTTACTTACACACTCTGATAAAGTTTATTTTTAAATTATGCGATGTATAAAATTAAAATCACGTGTTTATAGTTATGAAATAAACGGTCTGGTTTTTATTCATGCTAGTTAAATCTAAAATGAAGCATTTATAATTATACATTTTGTGGGGGCAGAGTTCTGTGGCGGGGGCAGGGGAGAGGGAACAGGGTGCTGGGAGGGCAGAGGACAGGGTTCTGCAGCTGGGGACCGAGTGCCAGTGGGGACAGAGTTCGGGGAGTGGGGAGCGGGTGCCAGTGGAGGCAGAGAGTCCCCGGCATCTCCCTCCTCCCAGGATTCCCCTCCCCCTCCGAGGGAAACCAGCGCGTGCCTGCCCCGGGGCCAACCCCCACCTCCGCGCAGGGAAGCACCCCCCGCGCACGCCTCCCCCGGGGCTGATGCGGTGGGGGGAGCCGATGCTCCCTCCCGCAGTACACCTGGCAGAGCAGCTAGCGCACTTCCGGAATCACCGGACGTGGCGCTAACCTGCGGGACGTCTGTCCATCCCTGGGAAGCTGACACTACCTCCATTTTCACTTGAGGTAGGTAGTGGGGCTTCTTGGGGGTGGGAGGGAAATGGGGGCGGGGCGGACAGGACGCCTCACGATCGACCAGTCGATCGCGATGGACCTGTTGGTGACCACGGGTCTAGACCATCCCTGATAGACATTTATCTAACCTACTCTTAAATATCTCCAGAGATGGGGATTCCACAACCTCCCTGGGCAATTTATTCCAGTGTTTGACCACCCTGACAGGTAGGAACTTTTTCCTAATGTCCAACCCAAACCTCCCTTGCTGCAGTTTAAGCCCATTGCTTCTTGTTCTATCCTCAGAGGCCAAGATGAACAAGTTTTCTCCCTTCTCCTTATGACATCCTTTTAGATCCCTGAAGACTGCTATTATGTCCCCCCTCAATCTTCTCTTTTCTAAACTAAACAAACCCAATTCTTTCAGCCTTCCTTCATAGGTCATGTTCTCTAGACCTTTCATCATTCTTGTTGCTCTTCTCTGGACCCTCTCCAATTTCTCCAGAAGAATCACAGAATTGAAGATTCATAGAACACTAGAACTGGAAGGGACCTCGAGAGGTCATCAAGTCCAGTCCCCGGCCCTCATGGGAGGACTAAGCACCGTCTGATCATCCCTGACAGGTGTCTGTCCAACCTGCTCTTAAATATCTGCGGTGATGGAGATTCCACAACCCCCCTAAGCAATTTATTCCAGTGTTTAACCACCCTGAGAGGTAGAAAGTTTTTCCTAATGTCCAACCTAAACCACTCTTGCTACAATTTAAGCCCATTGCTACTTTTCCTATTCTCAGAGACCAAGGAGAACAATTTTTCTCCCTCCTCCCTGTAACATCCTTTTAGATACTTGAAAGCTGCTATCCTGTCCCCTCTCCGTCTTCTCTTCTAAACTGAACAAGCCCAGTTCTTTCAGTCTCCCCTCATAGCTCATGTTCTCTAGACCTTTCATCATTTTTGTTGCTCTTCTCTGGGCCCTCTCCAATTTCTCCACATCTTTGCTGAACTAGGGGCCTCATGGTTGCTATGGTGGGGAATGAATTTGCTGGTCTCCGCCCTGTTCTCAGTGAATGGGGACTCACCAGCCCTGCAGGCACTGATCTCTGGTCTGGGCAGAGAAGTGGAGATAAAAATCAAGGTGAAACTCAGGGCATATTTAGGAAAATGTAGCGCTGGTGAGAGCCACTGGCTGGAAGGAGAATGAGGCCCTCCCTTTGTCCATACCACGGGTGTGGCGTGGGCATCCAGAGCTCAACATTCCCCCTCACTGCCCCACCAACATGCCTCTCCCTAGCTTGGAGGAACTTTCTCTAGAGGTGAAAAGACAGCAGCTTCCTTCCCCTGGCCCATCAGTTCTTAGCCTCTCTGCTGACAACAGAGGAGCCCCGTTACTGCCATGGATTCCAGTCCACCAGGACCTTGCCTGAGATTCATCAGGGAGCCATCAGATGAGTCTGACGCCCCTGCTAGTGAGTGGGCTACATGGAACACTAGCTGTGATGACTCGAGGGATGGAAGCATGAACAGCCCTTAGAGCAATACCAGCTTCTTTGATCTCAATGGTTCCATGACATCCTATCTTCCCCATAAACCAGAGCCCACCCCCCTTCCTTACCACACGTCCCATTGGGGAAGGAAACATTGAAAAGAGGAAGACTGGCCAGTTCCGGAGGCTGGGCGCATTTCGTATCCCACGGCCGGATCACGTTCACTTTTCTCTCTTCCACCCAGCGAGGGAGCCAGGAAAGTTTGCAGTCACAAAGAAATGGATTCAGGCTTAAGTTTCTAGAACAGACAGAGCAGAGAAAGTTTATGTATTAACTTGACAACGGGAACCACGAGATAAGTGTTAATTACACCATTGTCAAAATCCCCCTGTGCCCATCTGCACCATTCCAAGGAAACGCCCCATAAAGACTCCCTGGGGGAGTTAATGAATAGAGAATCAAGCAATAATTAACGTGATTTTTCTAAAGACTAGAATTAGGCGAGTACTGCAAGCCCCTTTTTCTCACTCTGCAAATAATTGTTGCAATTAGAAGCAAATTACAGCTGTAATCCTGTATTCAAAATAGCCTGCCATGGCACATCAGTTGGTTGCAACAGTAACCTCTGTCGCTCAGAGAGATTTTTTACAGTGTCATTAAACCACTTCTAAGAGAATAACACTGATCGGTCACAAAAGAAATGCAAACGCAGTGGGGGTTTGTCACGGGGGGGCTTACTGAAAAGATGGAAACAGCGAGTGCCCTTGTGTTTGGTCACAATTACAACCTCTGGCGTTCCGCTGCAGAGGGGACAGAGGCGGGAAGAGGGCTGCATAACCCACGGGAACTGGGCTGCCAGCCGGGTGCAAACCCAGTTTTCTTGTATTAAAAGCACCAGCCTCTATCGCTGGCGCTAAAGAATTAAATCTCCTGGCTGGTACCTGTAGCAAATGTACAGCCTGTCAATCTGTGGACCTGCCACCGAAAGACGACAAAGACCCACGTGCTTCTAGTGTGGGTTACAGCTAGGTAGGTGCTAGGTAGCAGAGCCCTGCGTGTGCTGTCCTTTAAGCCATCGCCCACCCACTCCCGCTATTACGACTGTCTCCTGCAGGGCTCTGAGTCGCAGGCCCACTGCAGGGCTGTACTCGATAACACAGGTTGAATCTGTAGCTCGGCACCAGACTGGTGCCAAACCACGAGAGGGAAATATTGTTTAGCAGCATTTAACAACTTCACTGCTTGCTGGGCTCTTAGAAGGGGCCAATTAGAGCTAACGAACAGCCCAGAGCAATGGGAGCTAGGACGGGTGGCTTGTCAATAAATTTTGTAGGAAACTTGATGTTCATGCTAAGTGGACACCCGGCTAACACAAATCCTGCCGGACCACGGATGTTGCCGGACCGGAGTGCCGGACTAGAGAGATTCAACCTGTATTATTATTACTGTCAAAAATGGTCCTAATGCTCTGTAGGCATGAAAATGCAGCATTGAACGGGAGTCTTGCTGATTTGCATAGTCCTCTCATTTGCATAGTCCTTCCCTTTGCAATGGGAAAAGGTGGCCGCAAGTTCTACTCTTGTCGTCGGTTTCAATTGTCGGGGCTGTACATAAACCGCTTTATTCCTCTGGGGAAAACGATTTCAAAAACTGACTCAGGCGCCCAAATGGCAGTTTGCTGAGTTCCAGGTCAGCGCCTCCCTACCCGCAGTAGGATGTAGCGATGCCGCTCCCAGCGATTTTGCTTTTCTCCAAGTCACATGCTGACGCGACTAAGAAACTTGTGCTGTTGCAAACTCGCCGAGGGCTTTGTCTACACTGCCCCAGGGGACTAGTGGGGTGAGAACAGCCCTGCCCACCCAAGTGCTGCCTTTTAACTCCCCAACATGGCCGCTGCAGGTGCAGACTAACAGGTTCCGAGTTGGCATCAACACACAGCCGCATTCATGTGAACCAGGAACTTCTTTGTCAGCCCCTTTGCATCCACATGGGGGAGTTCCAGGGCAGCACGTCAGTTCAGCTTCTCAGACACGGCAGTGTAGACATAGCCTCAGGGCACATCTCCCCTGCTGCAGCAGCGTGCATAGACACAGGAACTAGCTACCTTGAAGAAGAAGAGCAACGCTGCCCCCACAGCACGGGGTATATCACCCCCACCCAAGGACCCCGACATGTGGCTACCTGGCCGGCTGAGGGTGGCTAGTTCGCTATAGGACTGAGTGGACCCCACGGATCTAGCCCATGCCACTGTATCTTCACTGCTCTCGCTACTGGAGCTATTTTGAGCAGCGAGGGGCGACCTAGGCTAGTGAGTGGGCTGCATGAATGGCCCTTATCCCAGTGGGCTGCAAGACGTCGTAACCAAGCCGGCCTCTTGGGACAGGGCAGTTTTGCTCACTGTGCTTGCGTAGCTAGAATTTGCAGGGGGTGTCGATTGACTCATAGCAGCACTTTGATGGGATGCAGAGGGAGCGCCCGGCTCTCACAGGGCTTGTCTAGACTCCTTTCCTCTTCCGAAAGAAGAAATGCAAATGAAGAGCTGATTAGCATATTCCCGCACTTCATTTGCATATCCTCTTCCGACCCTTTTTGTGGAAGAGTTTTTTTCTCCAAAAAAACGCAGTCTAGACGCGGCTTGTTCACAAAAAAACCTTTTTTCGAAAACCTGTAAACCTCATTTTTTGAGGAATACGGGTTCTTTTGAAAAAGGGAGGTCTTTTCAACGAAGAAGCTGCATCTAGGCTGCGTTTTTTGGTGAAAAAACCTCTTCCGCAAAAAGGGTCAGAAGAGGATATACAAATGAAGCACAAGAATATGCTAATCAGTGCTTCATTTGCATTTCCTCTTTCGGAAGAGGAAAGCCGTCTAGATGTAGACACAGTGTTGTATACAATCAGCAATGTTAACCTCCCTGACATGGGGCCAGAAGCAACCAGGCTGGAGCAACGCCTGCCTGTGACAAGCAGGCCGCTCCACCCCAGCCTCGGCTCCCTTCGCCTGCCCCCGTTTAATCCGATAACCAGTTAAACTTAACATTTAACTAGTTAACTAATTAAACAGGATTTCCCATCCCTAATCAGCAAGCTCCTCAGTTCACGTGCCCTGGCTTTAAGTGCGTAACACCGGTAGAAAAAAAACCTACGTAAATGAAACCCGGCAGAATCAGGCAACCGGGTGTGTGAGCAACAGCAACCAAAATGTCTCGTGGGCTGCACACGGAACCACCACTGAGCTAGACCCAAGCTACCTGGAGTATTTCTCCCTGTGCTGCCCTCACCCCTCTGGAGCACAGACAGACCCGAAGTGAGTGGAGAAGCCGCAGGACCCAGGGGACGGGAACTGGGAAAACAAGAGCCATGCCCACAGAGCTGAGGATTAAAGAAACAAGAACTTACATGTCACTTAAATTAAATAATTTATCAAATATTCCATCTTCTAGCGTAGAAATCATGTTGTGGCTTATATCTCTGTAAGACAGGGAAAAGGGAAAGAAACGTTTAATCGTTACAAGAATAGCTTTGCCATCCTGAGGGGGTGAAAATCTACCCCCGAGCTTTAGATAGCTGGGAGCGCTGCTCTAGGGCTTCTCATCTCAAAGGACCCGCCACATACAAAGGTACAGTCACTAACGGCCAAGTACTCGATTCTCCCACCTTCTAGGGACCGGCAGACCCTCAGGCGAGAAGTCCTAATAAAAAGGTGCTGTCCCTTACAGGCCCTAGGCAGCGCAGCTGTTCGAGGGACCTGGCCTCTTTGAGGTCCGGGGAGAGGCAGCCAATCGATGGAGCACATGACTGTGAGTCAGGTCACGTGACTTCAGTGGGGGACCAATGCTATAAAAGAGGCAAACAATGCCAGGAGGAGAGAGCTCAGGGTGGGGGTATGGATGGGGGCAGCGTGAGTCCCCTCCTCCTCACTGTGTGCTATAGCTGAGCATGAGGCTTCCTCAGAAGCGGGGGCAGAGGCCCGAGGCAGGGCTGCGGTGAAGGCAGAAGACGGGCTGCCCACGTCGGCCGTGAAGTAGCCTGCAGGAAACCGGCATGTGGACGGGTGGCGTTGGAGTGAGAGCTTGGCCGTGAAGCAAAGGGAGAGAGGAGACCCCTCCCCCAGCCCCAACTGGGTCTGAGGCAAAGGTGAAGGGCTACTAGCTGCCGGTCCAAAGAGGAGAGCTGCGTGAGGCTTGCAGAAGGGCCCAAGGACTCTCCGTGATGAGGCTCCGTGCTGTGAGCTGGGGCTTCTTTTGGCTTTTGACTGAAGTACCAGGAAGGCCTAGGAGCTTGTAGAGGGACCCTGGGCAAGAGGGGAAACTGAGGCAGACAGGCCGCACGAAGCCAACCCAGGACTCTCTTTGGTCCTAACAAAGTCTCTCGGTTTCCGTATTGGGGTGGGTCTCGCTCCCTGTGTGGAGTCTGTGCGGCTGAACACTGCTGGCTCGGCTTCCAACAGACTGACACCTCTCTGCACCCCCGGAAGAGGCTCGGCAGAGGCCTCACCAGCTCATCTCGGCCATGCCCACTCTTGGAGGCGACGGAGGGCTCCGATTCCATGGACCGCTCCATCCCGCTCGCTCTGCTGGGATGGCGGCCCTCGAGTAACCCACCTTTCAGCAGGGACTACACAGAGAGGCACCAGCTCCTCCCCCGGGGCGGCCGGTATCATAGGCAGGGGGAGGCATTGCCGTCTCAAACCGCCAGCCTGGCCCCGCCCACACTTCGCCCCCACAACGCCTGCTCTAGGCGCACTGGGGGCGGAGTGTTGCTCCGAGGCTGGGGGTGCTGGGGCCGTGCCCGCCCGCCTTCCCCGTGATTCTGGGGGCGGGATCTAGGCAAAAGGGGCAGGGCTTGCATCCCCCAGCCCGACCCTCAGTGAAAAGCCACCTGCTCAGAGTGACTGTGGGTTACTTTGGGCTGAACAGCACGCACCCCGGGGGGCTCCCTCCCAAGCCAAGGCTGCCTCCCACTCCACGCAGTCGTAGTGACGTCGGTGCAATGGGACAGCTTGGAAAAAGGACGCAGCGGGGCTTTTCGGAACAGCCTATGGGCACGAGGAGCCCCATGGCCAGAAATTCTGTGATATTTGGGCTCTGAGTTCTAAACCCCGTTACCAATGCACCGAGACGCCTCTATCCCCAGGGCTAGTCTGATGTTGGGCCCTTATTTGCAACACTTGAGCATCCTGACATGGTCCCGGGGGGGGGAATCAAATTGTACGGATCCAACCGGCTGAACGCCAAGGGAGCACATCAGTCGTTCACTCGCTCACGCAGTTCAATGCACGGTGCAAATATTCTGCACTGGATAAATCAGGCTTGCATCAAACAGTAAATAAAGGCCGTTGGGTGCATCTGAGCCCTGGGCAAAAGGGGATGCAGGACCAGGAAGGTTGGGCTAAGTGTTATGGAACAAGGGTAGCTTGCCAGGCATGAAAGAGCATTTTTAGATACTTGTTCAAACACGTCTCCAAGGGACAGCGTGTACTCACAGCGTTTGCAGGGAAGTCAGGCGTTCAAAAGCCTCAGCATCTAAAACCGTGATCTTGTTATTGGACAGGTCCCTAGAGAGAGAGAACAAGCGCAGTTTTATTGTCATGCAAATTCAGTGTGTCTGGCTTCCACCAGGGAGGCTTAGAAAAGACGCTCTCCAACCTTCATCCACACACCGGACAAAAAGCACGTTCTTGGTGTGTTGAAACGGAACAGTTCTCCCTGCCAAAAATAACACCTTCCCCAGTCAGAAAGCATCCGCTGCCCCAAGGTCTGCATGAGGCGTCCATATGAATGAGGCCTATTACTATGCACAAAAATACCCCCGGACCAGTTTTCAAGTAAAATAATTACAAACAAGACACTTTGAGGACTCATTGTGAGGCACTGGTTTACAGCTGAAGCCTAAAACCCGCCTTGGAAAGCAACTGCTGGCAGAAATAATTTTGACAACGTAGTTACTACGGTATCCGTAGAACGTTCTGTGGCACCTACATGTAGTGGCACCAAGGCCAAAAACCTGGCAATTCATTATAGGAGCGATGCCTTTAAGTACAAAAATCATTTTTTCTTTTTTAATGTCCGCAGGAGTTAGAAGAAGGGGAGTAACTCTTTTTTATTTTCATTTTTTAATTTTTGTTAAGTAAATACAGGGATCATATGGCACTCTATGGGTGTTTTGAGACTACTGGGCTTTTTTGAAAAAAGTGGCTTTTCAAAAACACTTGCCCTGCGTCTAGATTGCTGCTGCATTCTTTCGAAAGTAAATCGAAAGAACGTGGCAGTTTTTTTGACTGTGGAAAGCCTCGTTTTATGAGGAATAACATCTTAATTTCGAAAGTGCTCTTTTGAAAAAAGGCGCTTTGTGATGCAAACTGTGCTTTTTCGAAAAAGAGCATCCAGACTGCCTAGGAGCTCTCTTTCGAAAAAGCAGCTTGCTTTTTCGAAAGTGCTGGTTGTCGTCTAGACGCTCTCTTTCAAAGGAGGCTTTTTCTAAAGTATCTTTGGAAAAAGCTTCTTTCGAAAGAGGCTTGCAGTCTAGACGTAGCCTATATAAAGGAGCAGTGGGAAATAATTTAAACCCTTTGACTGTCTTACTAATAGCCGGCAACTTCTTCAAACTGAAATTATTTCTCCCACCCAATTCACTTCACACTATTTACACTGTTCAATTGATGCTCTTTATGTTTCACTGTCCTACTTAAGTGACCTTTAAAATTAAACATCAACTAGCCCGTTTCCTTTTCAGTTCGCAGTGAGGGTCATTTCTTATGCCCTTGCCCAAAGCTCCTGGGGAAGCGGGCTTCACACAACGCCAGCAAGAAAAAAGTGAAGTAAAAAAAGAAGAGAATCTTCGCTAAATTATTTGCTAAAATAATTCGCAAAGGCCTTCCCCCAAACCTAAATTAGGAGCCTAAAATACTTGACTGTGACCCTTTAATAAACAAATACTAGCAGACTTGCCCAGCATTGCCCGGGTCCTTCAGGGCAGGGGGCTGGCGGGGTGCAGGGTGCAGGGCAGGGTTTTGGGGATGAGAGAGGGAATGCAGGCGGTTGGGAGCAGTGGGGGCAAGAGCGCGGGTTGGGGGATGAGGAGGGGCTCTGTGTGTGAGGACCCATCTAGCATGGACCTTTTCTCTCCCCTCAACCCAGTCCTGGCCTCCAGAGGACTCTCCCCCCCGCCCCTCCCACGGCTGTCAGGGGTCTTTTTTCTCCCCCTCTCCAGCGCTGCTGCCAAGGGCTGTGGGGGAGGAGGAAGAGTGGGGGGTGGAAGGGGTTACTCAGTGTGCTGGCAGGCAAGATGGCAGCGCCCCTTCCTTGGTGGTGTGGCTGCCCCCTGTGGACACTCTGCAGGCAGGGTTGCTAGATGGTTTCAACAAAAATCCCAGACACACTTGACATGACATCACAATCGACATCACATCTTACTTAGACAATACCGGACGTTGATATTTTCTCAATGTGCTTCCTGAACAGAAAGCTCCAATACTGGTCTGTCCGGTTCAAAACCCGACACCTGGCAACCTTAACTGCAGGATAGCGCTCGCCCCGGTGAGCTCAGTGCCCCTAGTGGCCACTCTCATATTGCGGACAGCAGCCCCTCCCACTTTGCATATTATGGAAACCAGTCCTTTTCCCAGGGCTTCCGGTTGTCCTGGCTCAACCAAACCCTGACCTTGCTTTAAAAGTTAGGAAAAGAGAAAGCTGCCTACTAAATTTGGGGGTCCTCGCTCTTACCATTTAGGAGGAGTTCTTGAACAAATGGATTCACAGACAGACAGACAAACTCTAACATATATATATATATATATATATAAAACAATACCAATAACCAAGATAGCTACCTAATAGTCAATACAACAGTTCTCAAAGTGGTTCAACTGTTGAGCCAGCTATACCATCAGGTTGAAAAGGGGGTGGGAGTAGGCACAATCGAGTCACGGTGTCATGTGCTTCCTTGATAGGACTGGGTCTACTCAACGGCTCTCCGTCATTGCAAAAGGTGTCACTTAAAGAATAAAATTCAGAGCCTTTTTTTTTTCCTACCCTGAATTCTTCCTAGGACATTCTTTGCCATTCCCCTCTACTGCCTCATCTCTGATGTCACGTGGCAAAATCTAATCCTCCAGATGGATCATAGATCCGACACCAACATTTGGCCTCTATTTCTTTAGCCGAACACACAAGGCAAACTCACCATCCAAAAGTCAACAGTCCTTGCAAATAACAGACAGAAAACTATCCTGGTACCACAAGGAATGGGGGGGATGTAGGGGAGATTAGTGATGGGAATGTCTAACAGGGATGGTGTATTTATGTGGGGGGCTGTCTTAGGGAGATTTTTCTTCCAAGCTCATCGCATATTTAGATGAAATTTCCAACAGCCCCACTGATGGGAAATTAAATGTAAGAAATAGAAGCCGACAGATCCGTGTGTGTTTTCTTTGCTCAGACTAGCCAGATAACAGCAGAACACGAAGCATCCTTTGCTAAACTCTCACAAACATGCATGAGCTGCACTCTGCGTAGGAGACGTTTAACTTCCAGACATCAAAGTTACCTCCAAAACTATTTATGACTCCTACTCCCAAGGGGGGGAAAAAAAAAAGAGAGAGAGAGAGAGAGCGCGCGCTTTGGATCTCAGCTGTTCCAATTAAGACAGGTTTAATCCCTTCCCCGTGGAGGTGCGGTCTCACTTCTCTAGTCTACCTTCCTTGGGTCTCGGCTTCGGACCTCCCTCCCCATGCTACCTGTAATGACTGCATCACACTCTAATTGGGTACCAGGATAAATAGTTATGGGAGGCTTTTGCACCACTTCCGAATAAATTTAGTCTGTCCTTTCTAAAAAGTTTTACAAAGCCTGATGGAGAAAGAGAGCTTCATGAAGTTTATAAAAAGGGAAATAAAACTTAAATCTTTTCCCTTCGGTGCTGGAAGCCTTCTACTGCCAACTTTCAAAATCTTGGAGTCAGGCCCCTCCAAAAATTGAATGATGATGCCATTATAAAAATATATTTTTGGTTTAATTTCCCTCCTGGCTTTTGAATATTTAGGGATCAAGTGTTCTCGCTTTCTTCCATAACAAAGAGAGCTGAAAGCTTCTGAAATAAAAGCAGAACCACATGACTCCAGGGTGTGGGGCTTTAAGAAAACCCATCTAACAACATGATACTTGCAATAAGACACAGATGTGGGCAATCCAAGCTCAGCTGTGTTCAGCTAGTGCAGCAGAGAAAATGTGGAACTGGCTACAGACACAAAATGGTGCTAGGAAGACATAGCTCATCCGCTGTTATTTGAGTGTATTCATCAATTCTTGCCATTACACAGGGAGGGAGAAATTCATCCTTGTGCAGCCAGCCAGCTCTATGGACTAAGTGGGACTTAAGTAGCCTATCAGTCTTGTGACAATCCCTCTGTACAGGAGTGAACGTTGCCACTCAAGTTCTGTGTCACCTTGGTTTTTTGCGGGATGTGACCAGCTCCAATAGTGAGTAAATTACTAACAAAGCCCGCCCGCATGACCTGCTCTCCCCCTCATTCAACACCCCCAAAACAAAAAAACAGCAGCAGTGGAAAGTGAATCACAGGGTTTTTTTTTTCAATCCGTTTGGTTGTAGAGCCTGAAAGCACCCCCCCTTCCCCAACCCCCTGTCACACAGGGATGGGGGATAGCTCTTAAAAAGGGGCTGGTTTTCTTGACGGTGTTCCTTTAACAGGCATTCAGATCACACTCCACTCCTGGGCCCCTCGCACTGAAATGTTTCAGCCGTCTCCTGGAACCACGTCTGGCCGCCTGCCACTTCAGTCACTTTCACCAAAATAGTCCTAGACTATTGAGTTGATTTCCCTTTGGCTGCTGGCCAGAACCATTGCTAGCATTGGCTATCCCCTGGCCCCCACCTACCTACACACTGCTACCGGGCCCCGCTAATCGGCGGGAGAAAACAGCCAGGCTAGCAAGGAGCTCTGTGCATAAACACGGCATACCTTCAGTGAAAGGCCGGGCTTGACGGCAAGCCAAGTCGTCCGCAAGCTCTGTGTACTTTCTGCAAGGGGCGCACACGCAGCGGGCAATTAATTTCCTTGCAATAATAAGGAGACAGCGGGAGTATTTCTCTTTCAGTTCTCTCCTTGGAGAGGTCTGGAAATCGCCCCTTTCTGCTGTCAGGCAGCACCTCCAGCCGGGGCAGAAGGAGATAGAGTTTCAGCCCTGACAGCTCCCACACGCTGCTCCCCAAAACTGCAACCGCCTCCCAGGCAAACTGACGTACGGTTCAATGACTGGCCACGGCCTGGGCACGCCAGCCAGAGGGGCAGCCGTTTTGCCCTGCCTTGTTAGCTTTTGGGTTGCACGTGGCGTAGGATACCTGCTGGGATTCCTGGCCTCCCTAATGGAGTCGACAGATGTACCCCTTCTACGGCGCCCCAATGCTTCTGGCTTCCTCGCCATCATCCCTCTGTAGGCAAACTACGGCCCGTGGGCTACATCCGGCCCTTTAGGGCTTTTCATCCAGCCCTCGGGATTACCAGTCGGGCAGCACAGTGGGACTGAGGCAGGCTCCCCGCCTTCCGTGGCCCTGTGCCGCTCCCAAACCCAGCCTTAGGGCAAGGCGGTTGCCCGTTCCCCGCGCCCTCAGGGCCCCACGCAGCAATCCAGGCTCCCAGGGGCTGCGCAGGGCAAGGCGCCCAGCCGGGCCCCGTTGTCGGCGTGCCGCCCTGGGCCCTGCAAACTCTTTGGCTGGTCCTGGCTGCTCCTGGG